ATGGTCGAGATAATGTCAACAGTATTAATAAATTTGATAATAATTATATTAATAAAAATTATGAGAAAGTTATAAGAAAAAAGAAATAATTTTGTGTACAGAAGTGTAAAGCCATTAATCTAATGACATTCTTAATTGCAGATTCGACAGAAATTTCTAGTTTAAGACTGTGATGCTTTCTATAAGAAATTTCAAAGAAAAAGCGACAGACAAAAACAAGTCCTCGATCAAATCCCGCATCTAGTCTTGGTAAGTTTCTTTCTGCGCGTTAATGATCCCCAAATCTTCACAAAAGACTCGGATCGCAATCTTGTTTCCTTTTAGAATACCTGTTTATCTTGTAGCAATATCGAACCGTAGACGAGAAAGATTAGACATGCCTTGTTATGAGGTGAGATAGAGAATTCAAATCTTCCCTTTCGAAGCGAACTTCGTTAGCATAACAACGATCTGCAAGGAACACGTGGGACGTGAGACATTCAACAAAATGTAAAAAACGAAGAGACATGCTTCCAAGGGAACGAAGCTGTGCAGGCGCAATGATAACGTCGAGGAATTTTCACGTCACGGCTCTTAATAAAACTTACGAAACGCACGAAACGTAATAAACGAGCGACGTGTATAGGTGATACACGCGGCCAGGCGACTGACCCACTTTTTCTCAAGATGTATGAATATTAGTTTAACGAACTTGCCGCAACGAAGATATATCTACCACTCTTTCCTTCTTGCTTTTTCCGTAGGTAGATAGTATTGCGCTTCATGTACTTGCATTGCACGAATTTTTTTCCACATTAAACGAGCCGTCTTCAACTCGGGTGGTAATCAGCCATCTTCTTATTTTCACAAACGTTTTGCATTTTAAGCACGATGTCACGTAGAGATTTATCATCATTCTTAATCTAATATCTTTCGTTATTGATATTTCAAGAATATCTAATATAAAATTGTAAAATCTATTTATTAATTTGTAATATATATATGATTTATCATTTGTCAATTTACTAATATCATTCGTTGGTAATCTATAGCATAAGATGCCCCTAGATGTCAGTTTGATCGTAATTCTCTAGTAGGGAGAAAGCAAGCAGATTAACGCCGGTCAGAGTAATAATTCGTGCGGAGAACATCGGAAACGGTTGGAACGTCTGAATCGCATATCCGGCCGAAATGGCCGGATACGAATCGAGTGTCAGCTTTGGGAATTCAGCCGGTCGATCGGTCGATTATACACGCCGTAATAGAGCGTCACGCAACTATGAGAATCCGTTGTGTACTGGTTGGCTTCGAGCTGCCTCGAGATGTGTCGAAACAGAAGCTTCCACGCCACGCGCCACGCTTCAGGATTTGCAAGTGGACACGTGTATGTAGTTACCCTTTGGCACCGTGTTCTCGACGTGGAATTAACAACACGACGTCATTAGACCGGATGGAATAACTAATGAAAGACCGATTGGACAATGAAGATTGATTTTCAAAAATATAAAGAGCATTTCTAGTTGTGAATTATAATGTATGGAGTTAAAATATTTGATTTTTTTCGTAAGTGCCCAGTTTATTTAAATACAAAAGATCTTTCTATGTATAAATTGCAAAGAATTAAAACTTTTTATAAATTGTATCTAATATCTTTTTCCATGCATCGAATAAGTTACTTTTGTATCGATAGATTGAAAATTGTCACTCTATAAATGTTGAAACATCTCTTGACGTAATAATCCTGGCTGATCAATGATTGACAACTAACAATAAGTGGATGCCAATTAAATTCTCTTTTTTAAACACAGAAGTCCTATTGATGAAATGGTTGTGACAGCTCAGTCGATCATCGATACTGCCTTTTCCACGTATCATCTATCATTGGTTAAAACAGAACCTAAATAACAAGCAAGAATATTCAATTGGAAGAATCTCAGTTACTTCGGAACAGGAAACGATTACAGGATAATCAGAATCATCTACGTTTAATTGTAAAATGGTTTTACAATCGGATACTTATAATCGATTAGTAACGATCGGGTTAACGCTTTTCAATTAAAACTTTCTGTCGACAGGGACGGGCTCTGGACGTTGATAAAAGCATCGATTCCATGCAAGAGACAATATCTGAAGAATTTCAACGTGGAATCAATCTGACGATTACATTTATTTTATATTTATGGAAAGATCAAACTGCACGAAATACATAATACATCCACTTCATTGAAAGTTTACGAAACAGTAGACGTTATCTATCCTTGTGCAACGACACGAAGATTCGCCAACAGCTGCAATCGTCGGAAAAAGATACGAAAGCGTGCAATGTTTTAACTCGATTCAGAATTACCAGCTTGAACACGTGTACACGTGTATCCCCTTGTTGCGCGTTCACCGCGGCCATTAAAGCCGCAGCTTTAACTGACCCCGGTGGAGCTTTGCCGATATATTTTCCAGTAGAGGCCAGTAAACGCTGCAGTAAGTTGCTCACAGATCTGTCGATCGACATTTTATTGAACTATCTGGAACTAATTGTACTTGAAATTAGTCTTGATCTCTATCCAGATTATATTTAAACTTTGTCATTTCTATTAATGACAGATTAAAAATTTCTTTGAAAATTTTTGAGAATTCATATTGATATCACAAATCAAGATATTACTTGGTAAATATAAATGATAATTATTCTATATATTTTATAATATCATTCTTAAAAAATCTTTTGAATTTAAAAATAGATTGAATGATATTATCCATTTTTTTTCTCTATAAAGAATACTACTTTATTTTTTTATTCTTATTTTTTACAGCTTATAAATAACAAGAAGATAGAGAAAGATATTTTTCCCAGTATTCAAGCACTAAATCGTCAAATCATCCCATTATTCAAATCAGAAGACAATCAATCATCTAATCAACGATTCAAACTCTAATTATCAAGAGACTCTCAAAGTTCCTACTTCAAGATTGGAAACCGTGGAATTCCATTAAAGTACAGGTTCGTCCCATCGAGGGGTGAACTGCAAGAAAATACAGACAGAGTAACTCGGTTCCACGACCAATTCGAACAAAACGCTATTCGCAATACATGAAGGGAACGAGTTACTCGATATCCTTTTTTTCACTACTGGGAGCATGCACACCCTGATGACTGATCGTGGGAGCTCTTATTAAAGCGATTCACGTTGTAATTCTTCGCAATCCATGTTTCAAAAGGCGATGAACTATAACGTTTTCATTAGTCCTAGCTCGCTACGTGTAATTCCAGCGCACTGGTTGCCTTTTCGAGTCGTTTCATTCCAAGCGTATATATCACCGCGGTTCATGGCCAATGAGAATGCGATCCGGCTTCTACCTCAAGGTATTCTCTGCTCTTCTCTGTTTCCGCCGGAAGCCGCCGACTCGATTAATCGTCGATGGAAGGTAACGGTAACGTGTAACGGAGGCCAGAGTCAATCTCTTTGAGAGAAAAAGAAATTGTCTCTTCGTTTGTGTTTTATGTACAGCTTCTGGATAATTTGAAAGTTTTTTCGAAAAAACTTTGGAAAAAAAATTTAATCTTTGTCTTTTTGTCTTTTATCAGAATATGAGAAAAGAAGAAAGAAGCTTTTCTTTTTTAAACTTGAAATTTTTTTTTATTTATAGCAATTTAAGAAGAAAAGAAGGGGAATAATTATCAATAAGGATGAAATAGTTTTCTTGTTGTGAAACTTGTAAAGCCAAGTATTTCGGTGCATGATTGTAGAATCGGTGCGTCGGGTCTCTATGCACAATGAATGCTGGCACGAGGAGTTACCGCAATGGTGCCATTTGCTGCCGGAAACGTTGACCAGGGTATCGTAAAGAAGTTCAGAGAAGCCTCGAAAATGTTCACTGGAAGGCGACTTCTTTCCTTTGCGTGGCTGAAAGAAATTGAATTTACCGCTTTGTGAGAAACACCAAGATCTGCAACGTTCGAATCTCGTGGCCATTTTGAGCCCATCTTCTAGAGAAGCCAGAAACAGTTAATAGGATCATGAAAATCTAATAAATCTATTGGAATGTTTAATTACAATTCCTCATTTTATCTTTTTACTTTAAATATTATTGTGAATGTTAACAAATTTAACAAGGAATTGATAAAACAAAAATTATGAATATCACATAAGAGTAAGTTATTCTTTATAAAATTATATTTTAAAAAGAAAAAAAATACATTATTGAAATATTATGATTGAATTTCATAGATCATTCTTTTCATATTATCTGAAAAAAGTAATAATAAATTTTCTCTTCTTAGAATTGGCCACGTGGCAAACGAATCCCTGATGGAATGTTAAAGTTCGACATCCATGAAAGGAAACCATTTCTCAACCAACTCTTCGAACGGTAACGATAGTGGAAGAAAAGAAGGGGCATGAAGGAAGTTTCGCAGAAACGTAATAACTCTGGCAAAGATTAGACGGATAAGGGGGAACCGTCAAGACGTCTACTTCGTAAGATAAGATTCGGCAAAGACGCTTTGAAGCCTTTCGTATCGATAATGTAACTTTGACCGACCAGTCGTGTAACACTGAATCGCTCAATTACCAGGTCCAAGTATAACCGTGCAATGACTCGTGCACTTGGCAAAAAGAAAATGGAAAAATCGACCGATACGTAGTCCTAATAAAAATCCTTTTTTCAATTAATAAATTTTTAAATTATTTCAAAGAAATCATTAATATATAATTATTATAAAAATTTTTGATATCGTATACATAAAGTAGATCAGAATACTATTCGTTATTTTTTCGAAATTAAAAACATTTTTAATTTCTCGTTAACTCCGTTTCTAACTTTGGCATTTTCATTTCAGGAATCTAATTAATCTTAATCAAGAATTCAATTCGTAAAAGTAAACTATTGCTTAGAAATTAACACTTCATTCAATAAATGATCTGAATGAGAGAGTATCAAGGAGTACGTCGTAAAGATTTATGGTTCGTGAAACAACGTGAAGACAAGAAACGTTGGAATCCATCTTGGAAACTACTGGATGAACGGAAGAATGCTTGCACATTGTCGACAGACACCAGGAACGAGAATCTGAACAAGATTAGGCTAGTTTCCAAGTCAGCCGAGAGGACAGCCGTGCCACGCGACACTTTGCCGGCGACCAGTCCCTAATGATCGTTCGCATTTGTCGAATTTAATTCCGGATATTCGATTCCTAAATGCCTCGGGGCGAGACGAAAGCCAGCTGCCGGTGGAATCGATTCGAACATATCCCTGCTGGAGTTCAAGAGGTTGGATAGTTATCGGAAACGTGGCTAAAAACGATAGACTATATGGAAGATGGGAATGAAATACTATCTTGACCCTATTTACCGGCCTATAGATTCTTTGCTTATGAGTCGGTTGTTTAAACTGATATCTGATAACATAGTTTTTTTGATTGCAATCAAATATAATATCCACCAGTATTACTCGATAATATTTGATCACTTATCACATATAGATAAATGTGGGTCGGTCAATTAATTAAATTGGATTTTTCTTTTTTATTTCTTAAAAAATATGATATAAATGAATAAAAAAAAATGTTACAATTGATGTAACTTACATTCTGCTGTTACTTTTTGATATTTGTTTGTAAGTATCTACAAACAGTTATTGAATTGCATCTACAAAAATTTTTTATTATATGATTTAATTATGGTTTCATTGATTTATCTTGGTTTTGTGAAATAATATTCAAGATAACATTTATCTTAATGTTATTTGATAAATACTAATAATATTATATTGGCAAATGAATTATACCATACATTTAACGATTGATACATAAAATATAATATACATTAATAAAACATGTGATTACAGAGTGGAAAAATAATTAACAAAAGCAATGTATAATGAATAGTAGAGATTGAGAAGAAAATAGTTAAAGGAATGCTGGAAATGCTCGCGCGCTCGTGTATGCCTTGCGACATTAATCCATTTTCAGATAAGTATGCTCTCTGGTCGCTTAAACCTGACAAACTGTTTTCTCTGTGCTCAAAACGATAAGATCTTTTACGAATTATGCACAATTATGTCACGATCGTGGAATTAGAAATTTTCTAAACTTTAAATGTTATTTTCCGACGGCAAAATTTTTATGTAAGTATAAAAACGTCTAATCAATAGAAATTGCGCATGGATGAACAATGCATTTTATGTTTAATAGCGTTGTTAAAAATTATGATTATGAATTGGAAAATGGTTTGGAAGTTTTGAAACTAGAAGAGAATCTTTATAGTTCAATGGGTTAGAACAAAGAGATTGATTATGAGGTATTAAACTGGATAAGTATATATGATTATTATTTTTTCCTATACATCATTCTAGCTAAGTTTAAAATATGTATTTTTTGTTAGATATCAATGGTATCTATGATAGTTTCAAGAAATATTTTAAAAATATATAATTTTACAGATCACAGTATTTGGACGCTTTTCTGACATTTCTATCCAAATTATCATTGCAAATGCAGCTCTTACAAACATAATTACTACAATTATAGAAAATCATATAGGACAACACTATAAGAAAAATGAAATTATGAAATCTCGTAATGGAATAAGTAATAACACATCACATATTTTCAATTTTGAATATCATTTCACATTAACCCATATATGTTTCACATGTGTACAAGTTGATTCAACACCCAAAAAATTTCTTCCTTTTCGTTTTATAGAAACTGACTCGATCATTAACCAAAGATAATCACGATGGCGGACGCATAACTTGATCAATCCTCGACGATCTTGGCGATGTATTTTTTTTTTTTTCCCTTTATTTCTTTTCCTTATTTCTCTCTCCCTTTTTAGTTCGCAGTTGCGCAATCTTCCCCGTACTTTGAACGGTCTCGTTTCACCGTCTGCTCCGCTCCTTCGAGCAGATTTATTCTATTTATTCGCTCAACCTCGAGGGAAGTCGGCCGATTACGTCGAAATTCCTTCTCCAAAGCCCTGCGAATCGACCTCTTTCCAATCTTTCTCTCGCTCTTTCCTTTTTTCCCCTCTCCTCCCTCTCTCTTTCTCTCTTCCAGCCAAGCTTTCGAGTGTTTACTCGCGTGTTCGAGTTCTGTCAGTATCACACGCTCTCCGCCAAACAAATCGATCGTCTCCTATCGCCGCCTCTTTTCGCCGATTTTCGCCCGCCTTTCGACTCGACCGATCCCCCGGGACCACGAAGCTTTTACGGGTGAGAAACCAGGGGACCGGCAAGATCAATTCAAATATATGCACGATAACAATACGTGACAATGTTCTTTCACGAATATAATAAGAATATAATAACCTGAAATAATCTCGATAAAACGACGAAGTTAAATTGTACTTACATGTCCAAGGATCAGCCACGTTGAACGACAGGCTTAGGTACGAAGTTCTCGTCGCCTGGTGCGAGGAGAATCGGCTTGGCAACCGATGGAGTCGCGCGTGTGAACGTCCCTCGACACACAACGTGCACGCTTATCCGGGCTTCACAGCCGCGTCTTCCCTTCTATTGCGACGTCGCGCCTCCTCATCTCGCCATCACTTGTCTTCACGCAGAGATTCTTCCTCACTTTCCTTCACCAAAAATTCCATCTGTGCATCTTCCTTTCCAAAACACAATATACAAACGACTCCTCTCGAATTTTTTTTTCTTCTTCAAAGTTGACCAACCGTTGAATCAATTCGATAAACGTCCACAGAGGATGCCAGGGTGTCGGATTTCTCGCGTTGTATATACGAGCCCCCTCTACTTTCCCACCGAATCAGCCTTCGTTCGTTCGCGAGAAAACGGTTCGGAGGAGAAACAAGGAGAAAGAATGCCGCGACGAGAGGCAGGTCAGTGCGTTTGCTGGCAGAGAGATTGCCACCTCTATGCTTCCAAAAAATAATCCTTTCGCACAAGAAGCAACAGCAACCAAACCGACACACGCGATTCGTCGAATGAAAAAAAAAAAAAA